ACCACAGTCTGAGGACCTTGATAAATAGAGAGGTTGCTGCACTGAGTTGGTGAGCAGAAATAACCATGTTAATTTAATCGCTATGAAAGGGACTCTGCCAAGTCAAGAAACATAAATTTTAATTATATGCACACACACATATTTGAATTATAATATGCGCACAATATTTAGCAGTGACACCAATAATACGGTGGCTTATTAAACCAGGAAGAATTCTTAAATAACTTTTTACTTTTCATTGATGATTTTTGTTGGTTTGACACTTCCATTTTGTATGATTCTCACTACTTCCCGAATCTCCTACACTAACCGGGTGCTACTGCATTTGCAATACTAATCAAAAGAAAATTTATCTACAAACCTTCTTAAAATTTTTATATAAAAGTGTAAGCTTTTAGTTATAGTGCTTTTACTAGTACTTATTACTTGTAATAAAGATTACATTCTCTGAAATTGCAGTATCTGAAGAAGAGCTTGTGATACAAACTAGGAACTGCAATAGAAAGAATTTAGAACAATTAGTGGGTAGCAAATGTTATTACCTATATTTAAAAAGGATTTGGATGTGATTCAAGGATTTAAAGAGCCATAAATTCTACATGAACATTTGAGAAATTGATTGAAACGGTAATTAGGTATAAGCAGTAAAGCACCTGGGAAATGATGATATAGGAGGTTCTGACTCTTTTTAACTGAGGAAAAGCACGTCTCACTACTTTCTTAAAATTCTTTACATGATATGTAAAGGACTAAATAGATAAGGGGGTTGACAATTTACTTAGGCTTTCTGAAACCCTTTGGTATGTAATAGGCCTCCAAAGAGAAAAGAAGCATTGTCTTCGATCAAAACTTTTAGAACAAAAGATGAAACAAAGAACAAAAGGAACAAAGAACTTTCATTATAGAAAAAGGCTAATGGCTACTGCATCAAGGTTTGGTCTTTGGTCCAGTGTTGTGTAATATAGTAATGAACAAGCTGGAGAGAGGGAGTACCTTGTAAACTACAAAGATTTGCCCATAGTACAGAGTTATTTAGAGCCATCGTGGCCAGGGAAGTCTGTCTGGGCCTCCTTGGGGAGACCTGAATGTGCTTGGTGAATGGGCGGCGGGATGGACATTTTAATTTGTCACCTGCGTGCTCAAAGTGTTACTTAGGGGAAGTTCTTGGCCCTGTTACAAGGTTCCTAATTCTGCTTAGTATGCAGCTTGGACACTGCAGGACACTGCCTGAGGGGTAATATAAAGAATATTGTAATGCATTTGTTTAAATGGGGGACGTGGCTTCATCTGAAAATATCAGGTGCAGTATTGGCCCATCTTGGGAAGATTACTGAAGAATAAGAGGAAATTCAGAGAAGTCTGACAGGACAAAGCCATATGGCAAACTTTCTACAGCAGAGTAATAGAAAAGATTGTGACTGTATATCCTCAAAAGGAGATGAATAAAAAGAAATGACAAAAAAGTTTGCTCAAGAATTTCTGGTTTCCCCATCTCATAGCGAGAACAAGGGGGCAAGCAATAAAGTGAAGCACTCTTTCTTTCAAATCATGGTTTCACTGTTGAACTCGCTCAGGTGGGAAAACATCGAGGGCAAAAGTGTTATCGAAATTCAGAAAGGGCTGGGCTATTCTGTACATTTCCAGAAGAGCCAGATTTAGAATAACTGGAAGTAATACTGCACTTATCCCTCAGGACTGACCTGTTGGAGATAAAGATGAAGTGTAGTATTAGGGTAGATTATTTTCTTTGCATTTCTCTCCTGACCAACACGCATACCTTTTGCGGCATCTGATGTGACTGCATAGTACAGCACAACAACTATCAAAGCAAACAGAGGCAAGCGTGGGGTCACAGCTTAATTTCTCAAGCCTAGAAGATTCTCTCTGGCCTTGTTTGAAGCTTCTGACATCGGCTGGTGCCTTCATAAGCAGGGCAGTGCGTGGAATGGACCCCACCTTGCATCCCTACAACACTTCCTGTGGTCTGGGGGAAGCCTTGATCTTTCAGATGAAAACTACATTTCAGGCATTGAGTTGGCTTCTCAGTTTTCTTTAGGGTACTTTTCTAGCTTTTGTGGGAAAATCCTGGAGAGGTAAATAGGAAATAGAAAATTAGGGATTTAGTGAAATGAATGTAATGATCCCTAGTAGTGTTTATCTATTTCTCTAGGTTAACTGAACCATCGTTCAGATTGTTGGAGACTTATCTCTGAGGATTCAAAAAGTGGTTTGGAAATGTAATTTCCCTTACAAACTAGCCATCTTCCAGGAAGGACTGAATTCTTACAGAGATTGAATTCATTACTAAGAGGTTGTCTTTGGACCTTTGTAGGTTTTTATACTGTAAACTTTATAGTCCAGTTAAGATAGCATCTGCCATTTCCCACTTTCTAGAGCTACTTAGGAATGAAAATGGACTTCTAGAAGCTACCAGTGGAGAAGAAAATGAAGGAGTTGAACAGCAGTAAGCTTCGTGGGCAGATGGGAGGCAGCTGCCCTGAGTTTCTTCTTGCCAGAGTTCCTGCTCACCGACTTAACTTCTTGGTGACTCAATCTCCCCATCAGTAAACTGGGAATAAAAGTATTACCTCACACCGCCTTGTCAGTGGGATGTAAAATTTAACAATTAAGAGATGCTCTGAGAATTTTGTATGAAAAGTCTCCTGGAATGTCTCTGGTGGTAAGCAGCAGCACCACACAAACCAAACATGCCTATTAAAGACAGCTGCAGGTTTTTGACCTTAAAGCCTACCTTTACCTCTGTCTTAATGTTCAATGTCTCTGGAACAAACAGGAAGTAGTTTTACTTTCATATATATTTTATTTATCCCTCACCCCTTCCTTGCTCATTCCCTTTTCCTACTGCATTCATTTGCTGAGCGTATCAGTATCCAGAGACAGGCATAGCTTGTCACAGTGAAGATGTGTTTGTTTCTGATGCCCTTGAGCTTGCTTGAAGCTTCTTCTCTTGCTGAATGTATGATGACCCCTTGGGTTTTACAGTCCCATAAGGTTCTAAATACAAAGCAAATGCCCTTTTGCACCTAAGCACAGGACTTTGAAACCAAGCCAGGCCCTCAGCCAGAGATGATTATGGAGGTTCCTTAGTGACTTTAGCTTGAAGTGTCAGGATTTGCACATAAATCGAGTCTAAAATCCCTTCTTTCTATTGAAATGTCTGGATTTAGCATCCGGAGGGAGGTACTAGGAGTTCATACAGGGAAATTCAATCTGTACGATTCTCTGTTGACTTCTCTGTCTTTTATAGCTCAAGTAAGGGAGAAGTTTGGGAAGGTGGCATAATGGGTTTGTGTCCACAGCTTAATGCCAAAACCAGGGGCCTGTTTGAATAGACCTCCTTGTGATGAGAAGGGGGAACTGTTGACCCCATCCCATTGTGTGAGTTGTCCTGGGAGTTTCCTTTGAAAATCCCAGTGGTTTGGGTTTTCTGCATGGTTTGTACTCAGCCTTTCCCTCCATGAATAGAATAGCTTTTGCTGGAATTTGCGCTGGATTTTCTGTGGTTATTGGCTGAGCAATGCTCTCTCACTTCAGAAGGCTTGAGCTAGTGTGCTGTGGAAGCACTGATCAGGCACCCTGAATCATTTGCTGGCTTAGAGCTTTTCATATACAGAACAAACATATTCCTGGGACGCAATTGCCCCCAAGGAACAGATTATACTTTACTGTCCCAGGTGGAAGTGTTCATTCATTATTTGGATTGCAGGAGTGATTTGAGGCTTTATAAACACATGAATTTCTGCCCTGCAGAGTTTACAGCTCATGGTGATAGAAAGGCAGGAAGCTTCAGGCAGACTGGGGAACACAAAACACAGTCCTAAAAGATGAGAAGTGGACAGAGCTATGAAATAAGGACACCAGATGCTGTAGGTCCTGTACATTATTATTTTATAAATCTGTTGCCCCAGAGGAAGGAAGTAATTTTAGGAGGGAGGGAGTACTTGACAATGCCAAGGTGTGGATTTCTCAGGTAAAGAGATGCTCGGGATGTCTCCCTGCCATAGGGTTGCTCTAAATGAACTCCCACATGAGTAGGGTGGAGGCCAGGATCTGCAAGGAAAACAGAATTCTTCCCTAGGTGTATTTTAACATTTTGCTAAAATTAACTGTATTTGCTGTATTTGCCTGTCTGCTGCCCAGCCTCATAACCCAGTGGCGGCATTCGGAAGGGGGAAGGAGGCTCTGTTCCTTCGCTTGCATGGCAAGTTGCATCAAGCTTCCTCGCAAACCTGCGCCGTCTCATGGAGTCCTGTGCCCCAGCCCTGGCCCCGAGCCAGCCTGTGGCTTCTCCTCCAGTGGCTGGGGTCCTGTTTTATGGGCTGGATTCTGCCCTCTGAGCTGTGCTGACTGGTGTTTCTTCATCGGTGTAGGCCTGTTTAAAACAAACTGAAGATTTTTATCTAGTCAATGTTAACTAGAAATTCAAGACACCCCTTCGGGGTTTTGTTTTTGTTTTTTTTTTTTCAGTTTCAGTCCTCAGTGTTGGCCCCTCGCATTAGCTTTCTGCTTCCCCACGTGTGGGATGTGCCCTGGTGTGGGAGAATGCTACTTGTAAGCTGTGCAGTGCAAGCTGTGCCAGCTGCTGAATTGCATTAAACTGCTTTTCTACTTCAGGAGATCAGCTCTTCCTACTTGTTATTTCGGTGTGTTAGAAAGCCCTGCTTTTGTTCTTTATTTGAAGCATAGGGAGTTTACATAAAGGAGAAGGATTTTTCCCCCATTTATTTCCTCCTGATACAATATGACCAGCCTTTTTTTCCTGTAAGCAGACACAACGATTGAAAAGATAGCAGGTTTTCAGTAAGATAGAAATGAGTCCTATATGGGGATCCTTAGTGGTTAGAAGAAGAACTTGAAGAACTCTCCTTCAAGATAGAAACAAGCTTGAAAATCTGTCAGTCTTCTGCTTGTCATCTCTGACTTTCTGCTTGTTAACTGTCTGGGGGAGACACATACAGTCAGTGTGTTTTGTTTTTCAGAAGTTGATCTGCCTCTGAAAAAAGATGGGTTCACATCAGAAAGTACAACTCTGGAAGCCTTGCTGCGTGGAGAGGGAATAGAGAAAAAAACGGACACTAAAGAGGAAGACACTATGCAAGAAATCCAGGTAAAGGAGAGCCCTGTGCCCTGACAGCAGGGCTGAATTTTACAATTTGTCTCTAAGCCCAGCAGATTTTGTCCTGTGGCAGAACAGTGCATCTGTTGATAGTTGTGTCATTCTACTGTCAAAAATGTTATCAAACTATTGTGCTACACTGTGATGCTCAAAATGAACTTGGGATCTTGCACACTTCTCCTGTCACAAGAATCTTGGTCATTTGGCTGTGATCTGCACGGCTCCTGTGTTGGAATTTGTTTTGCAGCACTATTAGACGATTAGATATAAAACTGACAAGCAGAGATGGGTCCCAAACATAAACTGAATTTTAGTGCCTCAGATTTAAAGCCAATTTGGACATGGAGTTGAAGTTGGATTCACAGCTGCTGACTGTAGACAAAACCGTGTTATTGTCTTGTCTGTTTTTTCTTATACTGAGAAGCCTTCAGGAAGTACACAAGCAAAAGCAATCATTAAAAATATTCTAATGTTAATTATTGCAGTTATTATTATTGATGCAGGTATGAGAAACATTGCTTCTTTATATGCATTACGACTTGGAAGTTATTTGTCAAGATTCCATTTCATCCTTTAACAATTAAAAGCAGAAACACATTTGTGGGTCTGTCATAGAAGGAATTCAGCTAATATGAAGGGTTCTTACATAAGGACATGTCACTTTGTAAAGACATCTTAAATCGCTAGGGAAGAGGGCCTCCCCCCAGGGAGCAGCAGCAAGTCTTTGTTGATGCTAAAACACCTTTGTGCTATCAGTCTCTATTAGTGATTTTTAGCAGGGGCCATTGGCAATGTGTCATACTTGGTAATTTTGGCTGAGATACAACATGATGCATCTATACCTGAAACTAGTAAAAATCTGAGTGGGCAGCCCCATGCTAAATGAAACAGAAGAGCGTGGGCATCAAATCTATATTACTTGGAGCTCAGTCCTACTGGTCTGTTTGCTAGAAATTTCACACATGTCAGGGCAGCAAAATTAGGTTTCCCATTTCCAGTTCCATAGGTAAAGGAGCACCATCAAAGAGGAAACATCCTATGCTCATGGAGTAGGGAAAAGCTTGGCATGAGACCCCTTCTGTGTTTCCTTCTTCAGCAGTGTACCTGAGTCTATTAAACTGAGAGCCCTAAAGCTCTGTTTATACCTGCTTCCACGGTCACAAGAAGTTATGGTGCAGCATCCTTATGAGATTGGCAAGTGCCTTTGGATGTTGCTGTGCGATCTGAGCTCCCAAATTATCCCCAGCAGCAGTCCAAGGGAAGAGACTTTGGAGATGGTGGAACTGACACAATCTGGATATTGCAGAGCAGGGAGGGGGTGCAAAAATGCACAAAAAGTTTTCAGCTAAACTGCCCTAGTGGTGACCTGTCATCTGGGTGCTAGTTTCATCAGAACAGATGCAAAAGGTACGTCTTGCTGTTGTTTCTTATGCAAGCACAGCTTATCTGGATTCAGTCTATAGAGCAGTGATTGTCGAAGCCTTTACTAGTAGCCAGCTTTCAGTGTGTACTTTGGCACCTGGCAGCTAGACTGTACCAGATCAAAATCATGATCAGTGCCTTTTATCTGTATGACATTTAAATAAGAAAATGCGAATCTCTCTTTTGTGCCTTTGCATGCTCTCTGTGCTGTAATTTGAAAGGGCCCAGCCTCAGCAGTGGTGAGAGTGAGCAGGTGGGATAGACATAGCTGTAATTCCCACCTCAGCCACTTACCACCCCCTTGAACTCACAGTATCTGTCAGGAGAAGACTTGGTGCTTAGCTGCACTGAAGAACATTGGACTGGGAATCTCTTAGAAAGACAGAGTAGGAAAAGAAAAGTTACTTTGCTAAAAAGAGTAAGGGTTGTCCCTGCTAAATAAATGCAGTCATTGGGACCTGCTGTGTAGTTGGTATTTAATAGGGTTGAAGATTTTGCCCTACAGTAAATTGGTATTGAATGAGTGTCTCCGTCGTTTGCTGCAGAAGGCTTAGAATAGCCTTTAAACCATGCATCCCAAATGCTATGCCCCTTCTATCAAGAATTAAAGTCATTACCCTGGCAGGGTCACCAAATTCACACTTGGTTGCTTATTATATCTTTCCTAAACTGATGCTGCAATTTTAAACAAAGTCAGTGGTTTGTAATATTTCTCTTAACTGCTCTTGTGTAGTATTATTGTTGTAACCTACCTCCTTCCCCTCCTGCATACAATATGGTTGCAGCCATCTCTTTTTTTAGAGATACTTTAAGATATGAAGCAATGTGAAAATATAAACTCATATCAATAAATTTGCTTATTTTCTTACATACCACTAGTCTACTCATGTACAACATTTTCCAAGTGCTTCAGTTTCCTAAGATGAAGTCAATTAACGTCTGCAATTGCATGAATTTTGAAGAAACATTTTATGTTTGTAGAACTGGAACTTTCTTAACTTTTTTACATTCTCTAGTATTTACTGCTCTAGTAAATTGTATTTCATGATGGTCTGACCTCATTAATAGCCTCCTGAGATTTAAAAATAAAAGGAGCAAAACCAAGATGAAGACTTGACCCTCTACCATGTTCTAAAAGTTGTTTGTACTTTTTAAAAGGGACGCTGTCCAATATTAGTCTTAAAGATTTAGCTGATAAAATAAGAATAAATTTGCACAGTTGGTCTTCCAAATACAGGCTTTTTAAAAAGTGAAATTTCTGTTGTATTCTTTCACACAAATTCAGAATTTGGTGCTTGAGGTATGTAGGAAGGAGAGAAAGCAAGTGTGATTTGCTCCTATTCTCCCTCTTCTCCCTCCTCTCAAATAGCTGTTAACTATAGAAATTATAGGGGAGGAACAAACATAGTAAGACTGAAAAACCTCTCCCCATCAGTTTAAAGTCACTGATTTGAATCTCCATCATGGCTGCATGTTGTAATTTAAATGAATGGTGGCATGGCAAAGGTAAGTTAGTGATTCCAGATTAGTCCCTTACAAAATGGCACTGCACCATGAACAGCAGGAGTGGCTGGGGCCCGTTTTTGAATTTCTAGCAGACATGCCAAGGATTGAGGGGCTTTCAACAGGACTTCTTTCCACATTACTGTTGTGATGGTTGGCCTTGCCTTTGTCTGTGTGACGTCTGACTTGTGCATGTTTTCAGGGCAACCAGCCTGTGTTTGGCTCTATAGAGGTTACATTTCAAAAGATCAAGATAAAAGGATTGAAATTCCCTGGCATGGGCATCTCACAGTTATGCGAGATGATGAATTATTGTTCCTATTAAATAATTAATTGAAGGAACTATTGCTATTGTTCCTATTAACTTCAACAGGACCTGTGCTTCCTCAGCATTCTCATGCAGCAAGACCCCTGCTTCCAGATTACAGATTTGTACCTGTGGTGTAAACCCTGAAAGATATTGCTTTCTAGATCCATAAAACGTGCTGGAATATAAGGGGGAATTTTCTCTATTTTTGCTAAACAAAGAAAATTCTGAGCTGCCAAGCAGAACACTGATTTTGTTTGTTTGTTTGTTTGTTTGTTTTCTTAAAGTGCATTTTCAACATTAGAGGAAGACAAAAGAATTTAAGGTACAAGAAACCAAAATGAAAAAATCATGCAAACAATTTCCCAGACAGGGCCTGCAGTTATGTATACTAATGTTTGTGTTGTCTTGGGCTATCAGTGCTTGGTGGTGCCACTGTTGCTTCTTAGGAAGCTTTGTTTTGTAGTTGACTGATATCAGTGGTATTTTTTAATAAGAACTCCCTGGAGAACTGAGGGTGGAAGGGAAAGCAAATTTTGCTTTAGCAGAAAGAAGTAGGGGTTCTGGGATCTGATTTGGCATTATATCATTAATCAACTGTAATTTAATAACCTGCAGTCTCTGTGGTAAAGAGCAGCAGTTGGTTGTATGTGTCATCTTCTTTCCTTCTAACCATTCCTATTTATTGTTCAACCGCAGAGGGTTTTAGAAAATGATGAAAACGCAGATGAAGTGAATGAGGAAGAGGATTTGGAAGAAGATATTCCAAAACGAAAGAACAGGCCTAGAGGACGGGTAGGTGGAGTCTTTACTGGAATGGAAAAGGAGGAAGCAAACCTCTGCTTTCTAGTGTATATTTGTCACGTGTATTGTATATGCAAAGTGTATATCCATGTATATATGATAGCGATAACACTGTAGGTAATTTTCTGTCATATGGTCAAAGATGTTTTTAATATTTTTTCAGCTTATTTTTGTGAATTACCAAGAAAAAAAATATTTTGAGAGGAAAAAGCTGGAGTAAATTTATTGTAGTGTTGTATTTACAATTGTAATGTAAACTGTAATAATTATGATGACATCCTGCTATTACGATGCTCTTACTTTAAAGCAGCATTTACTAATTACAGAAAAGCAACAAATTCAGTCATGAAAGCCAAGAAAAAAAAATTAAGAAAAATAACTTGAACTGTGTTAATATGTTTCGCAGCTTTCTCCAAGGTAGCACTTTGTGGCTGACACTGGCCCTCTTGAGCCAATGGCAAATCTTCCATTTGCTTAAAATGGGCAATATTTTATCCTTAGGGGAGTCTGTGTCCCTTCTCTTACCTAAGATGTCTTTTCACAATTTCAGCAGGGCACCAGTTAAGTAAAGAGGCCAACATTTTAAAACTTGGAATCAACATTTTCAATTGTGGCCCCTTAAGCTAGGCATCTATTATAAACGTGAACACAACTCTCAGAAGTTTTGAGCATTTTCATCTTTCTTTGGCTCCAATGGATGCTGCAGGGGCACAGGAGCTCTCCTAGTACCTTTTGATGTGTTTGTAGGAGTCAAGCAAGAAGGGCCACATTTTAGGCCAAATGAGCAGGATATAACAGCTTTTGAATAAGAGAGAGACGTGAAACCACACTGAATACTTGCAATGTACTTATGCATCAGACCCTCTCTTTTGGTTTCTTCTGTTGTTGTGTTGTTTCAGTTTTCTGCTCCTCTTTATTTGGGAGCTTAAGTCCTTTAATATAAGATCAAAGCACTTTAATAATTGGATAAGTATATATTTCACCTTCCTTATTCTCAAAATCACCTGAATCAGTTTCTTTCTTTCTTTCTTTCTTAGCCAAAGACCCCCACCTGGAAAAAAATTTTCCAGAAAAATGTAAGTTTCAGAAAATTTGTATGAACCAGTAACCAAAACCAGGAGCTAGAACTGATACATGCACACAAGCTTGACTGTAGTGATCAACTAATATTCCAGGCTAACAACTCTTCTAATAAGTTGCTCTCACATAAATTGCGCATGCTGGTTAGGGTGAGTGAAAGGGAGTGAATAGCTAAAAACAATAAACTGCTGTGGAGAAGGGAATTTGCTGTATTCATATATCCCAGGCCTACACAAACAAAGTCCTGAAGTTACTGTTATGTGCAAAGTTTTAGTCCCCTGTTCTGGAAACTGTTTCAGAATAACTCTATCACTTTTTCTCTGCACTAGATGTCCCATTCATTTTGAAGCATAAATTTACGCCTTATTTTCTGCCTTAGAACTGGCCCCCTATTAAGTATAGGACCAGCAGGATCTCTTGCATTTTCTTGCAACTAACTCCTACTTGCTAGTGCCCTGGCTTCCTTCAGTGCAGAAAAAAAAAAAAAAAGAGAGAGAGAAGTCTGAAGAGTGCCAAATACTTTGAGCAATTTTTGGTTTTATTTGATGGCATCAATAACCAAAGCAAAATGTGGTATAAATTAGGATTTCAAAATTAGGGCCAGATTCCCTAGCTGCTGAAAACTGGTAAGCCTGAATTGCAGCCTGACTTGCGCCTGGTCACGAGTGTTTTGCCACTCTTCAAGCAGCGTTTTCTAATGTGAGCCTGACCCGGTATAGGGAACTGGGACCCAGGATTTGAAATTAGGGGACATGAAACCTGTGCAGCACTCTGTTTCTGGGAAGGAGTTGGTTAGGTTATTTTTAGAGGGCAGAAGAGGGGAAGGACATGCATAGGAAACTAGATCCTGCAGAGTGTGGCCTTTGGGGGATTCAGAGAAGGAGTGAGAAGGGCTGACAGCATCGTGCAGGATTAATGCAATAGAATTACCGGACTTCCCAAATTGCACATGCCCCTTCATTTCCCTATAGCATGATGTTATTTTTAATCCTGGACCCTCCATCTGTCCCTCTGGCTACCCTCTCTGGCTGCTTCAGGGTTGCTTCAAGGCTGCCATCCCCTTGGCTTCCAGGCCTCGCACGTCAAGTCTCGTAGTCTTTGCTGCGTCCCGTCAGGAGGATGAAGGCAGTCATGGATGACTGAATTCAGCAGACTGGAGTGCCGATGGCTGGCACGTGGCACTCGACTGAGTGCTTTGGGGCAGCTGCTCGGTTTCCTACCCCCTCAAGGCTAGCCCTGAAATTGTGGGAGCATTAGGAAGGACACTGAAGGCTGAAGAGATGGATTTACAGACGGAGCTTTTTACTATCTTTGCTGGACAAGGACAATGTGGTAGGAGCTGGGAAGGATAGTTTACCAGGAGATGCGAGAGGAATGCAGCTGCACCTGTACAGATTGCTTGTCAGCTGAATATCCCATGGGACAATTTCAAAGGCACTAAAGACATTTAGGAACCCAAGTCCCATTGAAAGTCACTGACTTGAAAAATCTCCCTCTGTGTGTTCAGTGCATGAAAAAGTCTATCTGACGTGCGGTCATGACATGAGTGCTGTACCCTCGCGTGTCTGTAGAGAACGTTTTGAAGGGAAACAGCTGGCTGTAAGACTAGTGAAACTCTGAGCAACAGACCTTAAATTGCCATCCCATTCTGAAAGGTGCCTATGTAAAAATAGTACCTTCTTACTCAACAGATCCATTCTCAGAGTGTAAACAGAGTCAGACCTACTGACTGGAGACAAAAATAAGACTTTACAGCTTTTTCACAGCCCTGAAAAGCCAATGCAGCTGGTTGGGTAGGGAAATTGGGTCCTAATCCAGGTATCAGCAGAAGTATTTATTAAGGGCCAATCACTTGTCTCTGTGAAGACTCTCTGATGAGCTGAGGGTTGTATAGGAGCTGCCATGGACCGAAATTCAGCTTACAGCACATTTTGCAGTAGTGAGGGAAGAAGGGAACTAGCCTGGGATTGATTTCATAGCCCAGAGGGGGTTTACAGAGCTGGCAGTCAGAGAGAAAATATTGCAGCCTAGTAAGATGATTTTATGTGATATGGTCAGTAAAGTAGCTTCCACCAAACAATTGTTGCTGGGGCCTTTTCCAGGGTGAAACTGCTTTTCAGTTCATCCTTACAAATCTCACTCTGCACGCGTGTGCTGATCTGCACAGAGGTCTTTGCAGAAGCCAGAGCTATACTTGTCATACCTAATAGTATTTACCCCATCCAGACAGCTGCAAATCCATGTCTTTCCTTCAGGACTGTGTGTTAAGAGTTAGACCTGAGCAATCCCAGGGAAATAATGTGTGAAGTTTTTATAAATCCCTGTTTTGACAGACTGCAGCAGGCCAGTGTAAAACTGTTCCTTGCTCCTTCTCTTTAGATGTCCGAAGGAATGCAGCTCAAATAGTGCTAGTTCAGTGCCAAATCCATAGAAGAGGGACAGTGCTCATATGACCAGTTTGTGCCTGGGGCACTAATATTCTCAGAATTTCTGCATCTTCACCAGCTTTACTTCATGCAGCTCTGTCCCCTTCTTATTTTCACATGCAAAAGCTTGAAGGATTTGAGTCAGGTGGCCTTGTCTAGGGTGAGAAACATCAACAGTTTAATAAGAGAAGCAGCAGACACAATTTTGTGGCTTTTAGCCAGGAATAGAGTAGCTGGCAGAATTAATAAAGGGCTATCTAGCCATCCACCTGCAGATCACTTCCTCAAATAAAGATCAAGTCTAAAATTATTGTCATCTATAGACTGTACATTAGTGAACATGAAAGAATTGAAGGCCTTGGCTCAGTCCCCAGTTCTACATCACAGACTCCACCATTGGACAGATATCAGCTGTCCCCTTGTTGGCATCTCAGCTGAGAAGGGTCAGGACCAAGTAACTTTGATGCTGAATTTCATTCTTACCCCTGGAGCTCAGGACAGAGCAGTCTGTGCTGTGGAGAAACAGAGCTTTTCAGTTTCCAGGACTGCCCACTTGGTATGTCATAGGAACACAGAACTGCAGAGAGACCTTTCTGGGTAATTCCCCTTCTCTGTTATTGCAGGTAGCCATGTTTGGCTTTTTAATCTTTTCCATTAACTGACCAAAGCTCCATTTTATAATTAGTCATGGTATCTTTGTCCCAGAAGGCTATTTCAAAACATTGCTTTTCAGCTAGAAACCAAACCAAACCAAACAACCCCCCTTTGAAAATATTAAAGGAAATAATTTTACCTCTGTTTTATTTTGGGGCCTGTTTTCTGGCTGATTTAATGGTTATATTTATCCTCTAACACCTGTTCATCTATCCATTCATTCATATTCAGTTAAGCAAGGTATTTGAACATCTTCAGAAATGAATGTGTGATGATACTCCACTGAATATGTGCTGGCAGTGACCTACTGCTATGGATGAACAGGTTGGGTTATCTGTGGAGGGGATCTCCACTACATTACAAGGTCCATTAACATAGTGTATATCTTAGGAGATGAAGGGTCAAGTCCACCCTTGACAAACCTATATGGAAGCTGAGGATTTGTTTAGTTTATATTGCACATTTTTCATAGGAGGGTGAGGGGCGCAAGGAGACCTGAGGGGTGATGAAATAATGTTAACATTCCTCTTGTCCTTGCAGGCTCGGGGATCTGGAGGTGGCAGGAGACGGAATGATGCTGCCTCCCAGGATGACCATGACAAACCCTATGTTTGTGACAGTAAGTAGCACCCAGACAGCTGATTCTGCTTCCAGCCTGGTCCTACCAGCTCAGTGCACTCAGGGCTTCATCTTTTCCCTTCCAGCAAAACATTCTGTTGCTCTCTGACTTGCATGTTTGCCACCTGCTGCTGCTGCTACTCTTGGTGTTTTTGCATGAAGGAAATAAAATTAAGTCCTCGGCAAGACTCTGCTTCCGTTTGCCCTATAATAAATCATCTCTTATATTTTCTTTCTCTTTCTCCTTCTTTTTCTGGCTTCTCTGCCTTTTGTCTTCCTTTCCCCCATGTAAGATTCACCCTCTATTTCTCTCTCTGTTTCAGATAGTTACAAACAAAAGCATAACTCAAAAATCTCCGACAAAGGTACTTCACCCTTGTTGTATCTCTTCATATATTTGGTGATTCTCTTTCCTTCAGTCCTTTTAAAATCTCACTGGGATAAACTTTGAAGGTCTTATTCTCATCCCTCACTCAGAAAGTATTCTTGTGGCATCATCAGGAGATGATCCCTCCTAAGAAACAAACACCACTGGAAGGCTTTGTTTTGATAACTATTCCCTTTCAATATGGCCATGCTGTTTGACATCTTGCAGGTGAAGTCAGGCATTGCCCCAGCTGAAAAATTATACCAGAGCCCAATGCCTAAACTGAAGAAGGATGCCAAGAAGGAGGAAGTCCAATATTTGATACACAATGTTTTGGTTTTTTTTTTTTTACAGTCTAGTCCTTAGTGCTTTCCTTCTCTTTTTGATATTCTTTTTTGCTTCACTATGCCATTTCATTGAAGGGCACTTATCTTACCCATGTGCTTTTGAGGTTTCCCATCTTAGGGCTTACTGTAGAGTGCACATGCAATAATTTGTGCTACTGGGTACCTTCTATCCTATAAGACAATAACGTAACAAAAGTTATTAGAAGTAGGAGAATAGCAGGAGGTCTTCAGTTCTGTGATCCAAAAATGTTTGGTGGTTTTGAGGACAATTAGAATCCCCCTTTCTCCACTATTTACCAATCTTGCAATGTTACTGACCTTCAAAGACCAACTGTTACTATGTCAGTCTATGGGGGTATTCCCTGCTTTTTCTAAAAACATGAAGGAATAAGGAGCATGCATGGTAAATAAGAACTATATTACATGTGATCATATCATATTCTTTTATGGTGAGACCAGGTGACCCTGCACAGTACAGTGGTGGACATGTTGGGTATTTTGCTTCAGCAAGGTGGATATTCTAAGGGCAATGAGTAGAAATGGGAAGACTTGCACATGAATGGGAGCATCTGAACATATGATCAAGGAGGAAGAGCTTTTTAGGATTTGAAGAGTCAGGAGATCTCTACTTGTGGCTAAACAGCTGTCCTTATACGTTAGAAGAACTAAAATGTGTCTTCTAAGACTTCTCTGGGAGCCCAGTATGTAGCTTGCTGAGATCCACAGCTTTCCTCTGCTGACATATGCATAACTGTCTTTATCTCTTTTCTGGAACATCCTTCTAAATCCAAGGACACTTGTCAGTGGTAGTCATTTTGGGCATAATGAGACTCTATTGTCTGATCTTGCTTTGCTTCTGGATCTTACAGAGAACTTGCAGCATGCATGGTAGTGATTTGCACAGAGTAGATAATACATCTAAGATATCAAAGCAGGCAGCAGAAATCTGGGCTGAAGTCAAGGCTCTGGTACATTGTTGTACTGATGGAATTTTGCCTTGGCTTACATTTTGGAGCATAAATTTCCTCTTTGGTTTTGGAAATAAAAACTTTCCTATTTCATTTGGCTGATACCTTTCGTTTTTAGGAAACTTATAGTTAGAGGTGAGTCATAAGAAGTTTTGGAATCCAGACTTTATGCAGTGACTCCTCCTTTTCCATTGTACATAGCTGAGAAAAGGGTTATGTAGTAGCAGAACTCTTTTACCTGTCTGTGGAGCAGAAGGAAAGAACTATCCCAATCGTAATGCCATCATCCTGAAGTAATATCCTGCCCTTGTTAACTTTCTGCAGAAATATTACATACAATTGATTGTGAATAATTGGCTTAAGCCGAGGCCTCGTTCCTGCTTGGGTCAATTTCTTGAATCAATTTTTTTCTTTGAAATTATTTGCTAAATATTTTTATAGATAAATCTCAATGTAATCATGGTAGGTTAGAAAGTGGTTTGCAGTACTCCATGTACAGATATTTTGGGCAGATAGTTTTGTTTTACATGGAAACATGCAGGTCAAAAATAGTGAATCCGTTTCCTGTTTGGGAAAAAACGATTCCCACAATCACATTATTGGTATAAATAATTACCTCAATGGGTTGACACTTTACTTTTTCTGTATATTATTTAATTTACCTCCAGATTGCTTTTTCTGCAAGTGTTGTGATATTTGAGTTTGGAAAGTGACCACAAAGAAGAAAGCATAAGCATATCTAAACCAAATTAATTTTCTTATTTAACTGCATGGGCACAAAAAATGATTTGTGGTGAAGAACTACTCTGCTCTTTTTTCGTAGTTACACATCCATATTTATGGGAAAAAAGAATGTATCACCAGCCTTCATCAGTAATAAAAAGGTTATGGGAAAAAAAGTAGTCTGCGTGTCAGTAAGAAGATGCAAGAGCGGTACCCAGCTGACACTGCCCCTTGTGTTGGAAGATAGCAATGTTATTTCTGAAAAGGCCTGCCTTTTTTGGAAGAGGTATTCAGCTATACACCAATATTAAACCTGGTCCCAATACTAAAACTGACTGGAAATATGGAATTTCTATATGGAGGAAGGTTTTCAAAGCTCAAAATGCTTTGTCATCCTGGTTGGTTGCTTGTTTTGTGGAATGAAATATCCTGAAATACTTCAGCTGATTTTATTGAGCATCTACTGTATCAGAAGTTCAGAATAAAATGTTTGACTTTTCAAAGCATCGATAGAATTGCTAACATAATCATGAAATGGTTTGTTTCATCAAATCAGCAAGTGGAAAACTAGTTGGTCGGATTTTCAAACAGTTGCATTGGATAGTGTTGTGCCTTGAGGACCTTGGGGATACACAGTGGGATAATGAAAGTGGCAGGACAGCCTGGTATGAGGTGGGTATAGGCTGGAAATGGTCATGTAGCCCAATGCATCAGCTGATGTATGAGACCAGACCCAAACATAGCTTGGATACCTGGCTAGGAGACAGAGCAAGTGCCTCAAAGGATAGTGAAAAGTAGGGCTTGAGGAGTAAAGCAAAGTCTCTGATGTCAAGCAAGAGAACTGGAAAATACGCCACCACAGCTGTCCATGATAAACTGAGCATGTGACTTTTAGAGGAGGGACAGAGTGAACAAATGTATGAATACCTACGTATGTAATAAGAATAGATGTCATGTTGTCAAATGATCAGCTGGGGAGCTGTCCGTTCTACCACAGTGGTCTACTTAAAAAATGTTCTACTATTTTCATATTGTTTATTATATATGATTTACACTTTTTTTTTTTAAAAAAAAAAAAAACTTCTAAGTTTTATCTAGAAACTTGTATTCTGGTTTAAAAGTCGCAATCAGTTGTAGCACCTGAGCTTCAGATGTCTGCTTCCTTTAGCCAGAGCGGTTTGTGCTGAACCTCTACAAGTTATTAACTTTCCTGCTGTCTGTACTCATTTGTCTGCTTTCATTCTTCTCATGTTCCCACGGAGACTTACCTATGTACATACTTCCAGCTTTGTTTTCTGTCCTTCTATGTATGGAAGATTTCCCTTGCCCATCTCTAAAAGAAGTTGTTTCTTTCTTTCCCTTTTACCAATATGTCCTTGTCTCCTTTTAGTTTTATTCCTGTATAAACTTCTATTTTAGCATAACAACTTATGTTTGTATCTTATCCTTTATTTGCAGTCCCTCTGAGGCTGAGATATGCATTCAGATCCATTCCTTGTGCAAAATGAGAATTGACTGAAACCTTCCTATGATCTCTGCTGGATCAGTGACTAATGCAACCTTGCATGTACCCAGAGACACTGATCCTATAGTTTTTTGTAGAAGCTGATTCTTTTGTAAAAAACTTTGCTTTCAGGTTTCTCTAGTTACTTAACCTCAATTTTCTCTGCTGCAGTCTAAGACCAGCAGTTCTTGCTATCTTCTTAGTGTATAACAAGTCTTCTTTCTATGTCTGTAAATGGTTATGGGGGCTTCTTTCAGCTGTGTTTTCTTCAGCCCTTTTACTAAGCTTGTTTCTTTTCTCTGAAAAGTCTCCAAAGGGTCTTATTTAAGTAGCAGTGGCCAGAACTAAGTAGAATGTGCTGTTCTGAGGATAGAAGCAGTTCAGAAGACAAATGGTTGATACGTTTACATGTAACTTACATTTACTTATAGAACTTGGATTTATGCAGCTTGCTCTGTTATGTGTCTATGGGAGGTACAGAGATGGCTGACCTAACAGGTTGCTCAGTAAACCCTTTTTCAATGCAAGACGCTCCTCTCCAGTGCTGTGTCACGTTTCAGTGGCAAAGGCGTTTCCATCCTTGCCCACCATGTGAGTTCATATTTAATATACCATTTGCTATAGCTTCTTGTTCCTTCCCTGTTCAACCTGTTGCTACTCAGGCAGATTATCTATTTGTTTAGTTTCCTCATTATACTGCGTTCTCCTGTTTATACTGTGTTTTATTTATCTATAGTAGATGTCATATTAATATTCACTAATCACGTTACTGTTTGAAAGAATTCTTCAATTAATGAAGCTCATAACTTTTTATTATTATTCCAGTATTTTTGCCAACTATCAGTTCTCTGCATGTTTGATTCTTTCACTCTCTATTCTACCCTCCAAACTGATGATAAAAGCAGAGGCAAACATTGGGCCCAGAACAGACACTTTCAGGTGCTTGAAGATGCAGAAAGGTGCTTTGTGAAGTTTTTTAAAAAAATAGGCTCCTAATTCTCACTGATTTCAACCGGAGGTAGGCTCCTAAACTATTTTCACTGACTATCCCACTAAGTGCCTATCTGCTTGTACTGTGCCTACAGATCATGTAAGGCTTGGTGCCTAAGTGGACACTTTGAACTTGACTTTGAGCAACTAATAATTATTCAGAACATGGTTTTGTTTTTAAAAATGCTTGACCCAACATCCAAATCACTATGGCTTGAAACTTCCTCCTCCTTTTTCTGTAAGTAAGTTCATCATCCAGTGGGGCAATGAAATGTCATTATATTGAGGTTAATTTTTTTCTTACCAATTCCCTTTCTCCACTAAATGTATTGTAGATTCTGTCAACAAAAGGCTGGAGTCTTCAGGCAGTTTAAGTGACTTAAGATGAACAGATTCCACTGAGTTTCAGTGGGTACTGAGGAGCTCTCTCTTTTAGTTTCCTTAGAAAATCCCAGTTAAATATTAT